GCAAGGCTTGGGAAAACATTCAGGTGAGGTCAGTTCTCCTTTATTTCAAAGGACTTTTGGTTACTTGGACTTAATGCTGTCTGTAAGACTGGGCTCGTTGGTTCTATGTTGTGCCATAAAGAGAAATAAGAGTTTGTATTGTTAGAAGAATTCAGTGACAGATTAAATATTTGAGAAGAAAAACTTGGCTTTCCCTTTGCCTCTGAAACTTTGTTTTATTAATGAGGTAACTTAAAAAGAACATAGGAAGATGGAGAAATTAAAAGTTTTTATTACTTTTATAAAATGTTCGTTGTTGCTACAAGATCTTCCTATATCATAAAATATAAGTTTAGGCTGTTGGAATTTTCATACTCTTTGTTGTATTTATTTGAGGATGATTTATAGTTACTGTATAACTCATTGTCTTCTTTTTACCACCATAAAATGATACCCTTACTAAAGGTGTTAGTAAATAAACAAGAACTCATTTGCATTTGTAAGGACCAATGTATTTCTAAAGATGACTTTTCTTTCCTTGTGGTAAGATAATATATGTACTTACTGATAATACTGTTTGTTGTTTGAGACCTCAAGACTTGTTGTTTGGGACAGAAGACTTAGTAGGATTTATCCAGTGACAGTCGGTGGCAGGGTGAGATTCAATTCTGTCCTGGCTCTTAGCCTAGTGTGTTTCTTTCTGATCATGCAGTTATAAAATAGGGCAGATGGTACATTTATATGCTTTTGAGTTCTTAGAAGTTGCTGAGCTTTCCTAAGCAGAGAACTTTAGAGCTAGATAGGATCATGGTAAAACAAAGGGTAGAGAATAGAGAGTTAATTCTTCACTGTTCTGAGGTGCAGTTGAATTTCCGTCTAGCTGCAGCTGATTTTCCAGAGGATTAAGATAACGTTGAACTTGGAAGACTGGTTGGGTTTTAACTTCAGGATTTGAACCCTTGCTAAGGGGGGAGTCAGCTGGTATTTGTTACAATGACAGAAACATCATTGTACTGTAACTCATAGTTGTTTAATTTGGTGAAAATAATGGGAAGGTAAAATAAGATGTGGACAATATTTTTAAAAAGATAAAGGATTATTAAAAGCAGCTCTGTATGGCTATTTTACTGAATTTTACTTAATTTGGTTAGAAATGAATTATTCTGATACAAACTATAAATTACTTGAGTTCAGTATTTATTGTAGATAAATGTTTTAAGCCATAGCCCAAGAAAATTCTTAATTTAAAATCTGATTCAGATTTATTTAACTAGGATCAACCTATTGTGACTAGTAAGTCTTTGAAAATCCATAGGTGTATAATATGTATAATATGTTTAATATATATAAACCATAGGTGTGTATAATATGCAAATTAATTGGTAAATAATCACTTCATTGTCAGACTTCTCTTTCATTGATAATACATTTGAATTTTTAAAAGCAGTATAATGTTCAGATATTATGGCATTTTTTAAGAAAGATTTATTTATTTATTTATTTATTTATTTATTTATTTATTTATTTATTTATTTATTTATGATAGACATAGAGAGAGAGAGGCAGAGACACAGGAGGAGGGAGAAGCAGGATCCATGCAGGGAGCCCGATGTGGGATTCGATCCTGGGACTCCAGGATCGTGCCCTGGGCCAAAGGCAGGTGCCAAACCGCTGAGCCACCCAGGGATCCCTGATATTATGGCATATTAATGTAGTAATAAATCTGAAACTTTTGTAGACCTTTTTTTTTTTAAAGAAACTATTGCTTTATTTAAACATTAAATACTTTTTAAAAATATTATCTTAAGAATAGAAATGCTGGGTCACCTAGGTGGCGCAGGTGGTTAAGCATCCAACTTTCTTTTTTTTTTTTTTTTTTTAGCATCCAACTTTCATTGTCTGCTCAAGTTGTGATCTCCTGGTTGTGGGATTGAGCCCAGCAAGGCTCAATAGCTCAGCATGGAATCTACTTGTCCCTCTCCCTTCTCCTCTGCCTCTCCTTCCTTTCTCTCTCTCTCTCTCTCTCTCTCTCTCTCTCTCTCTCATAAATAAATAGATAGATAGATAGATAGATAGATAGATAGATAGATGGATAAATACTTTTTAAAAAAGGAATAGAAATGCTGGCTATCTGAATTTTAGAGGTAGTCTTTCTATTTTATTTTTAAAGTAATCTACATTATGAATTATCTGGAAGAGAACTGATATTTTGGGATATCTTATACAAACATACAGAAATAGTCAATTAATTGGTAATACCAAATTAAAAATTGAATTACCCTAATTTTTTACATTTGGAATGTACAGATGTGGTCCAGATGGTGTATAAGATTGTTTTACTCACATTGTGATAATACTTCTCAGTGTTTTTTAAATTCAAAAGTAATGATTGTACACCTGAAATACTGTTACTGTGAATGTAATTTCAGGTAATACAGAAGAACCCTAATAGCCTTTTATGAAGGCAACCACTTCAGCAGTTTCACAGCACAGTCTGCTAACCAAAACATGTCTTTCTTGTCAGGGTAGTTTTGTTCTTAAAAATTTGTTCCATTCATTATTACACTATTCTTTTTGTCATGTTTATGTTTAAGTTTTTATTAAAATCCTTTTATGGTAATTCTTTCAATAGAGATATTATTTGTAATTAAGTTACATGGTTGCTGTCTGCCTGGCTGGCTATATTAACAAAATTGACAGATGGTCTGCTTTGTGACAAACCATTTTACTATGGTTATGTGAATCTGTCTCATATCCCACCTAATTTAAAAATAAATTTATACCTTTTGTAAGCATTTGAAGTACTAATAAATTCTGTTATTTTTCTAGTTGAAAATACTTAGTAGAATTATACAGATATATTTTGTTTGTTAGATCTGGATGTCCAACAAAATAAGTTTTTTTTTTAAACCATTTTGATGTAAGATAGCAAACTCCTAAAAAATTGGAATGAGATTGTTGCATTTGCTCAACACAGTACTCGGCATAAGCAATAAATATTTTTCATTACTGAACAGTATATGTCAAAATCATTGCCTTTTAAATAATAAAATGGAACATTGAAATTTAAAGAAATAAAACTGGAGAAAGGGACGCCTGGGTGGCTCAGCTGTTGAGCGTCTGCCTTCGGCTCAGGGCATGATACCAGAGCGCCGGGTTCGAGTCCCACATCGGGCTCCCTGCATGGAGCCTGCTTCTCCCTCTGCCTGTGTCTCTGCCTCTCTCTCTGTGTCTCCCATGAATAAATAAATAAAATCTTAAAACAAAACTGGAAAAAATAAGTGGAATATTTTTTATGAAGTACAAAGAATCTATTGCCTTACTCTTGGTTCCTCTATTTCATACACTCAACCCTTTTTTTAATGCCTCAGACTTTTATTGTGGAAAATTTCTAAGATGTGCAAAATTAAAGCACCCAGCTTCTTCAGTTCTGAGTTCTTGTTTCATCTATACTCTTCCATCCTCAGATTATTGTAAAGCAAATCCTAGATATCCTATGATTTCATCCATAAATATTTGTTTCTCTAAAAGATAATCAAGGCTTCATTTTAGAAATGTGAAAATACCTAGTATACAGTCAGTATATTCTGGATGCAGAACACAGTGTAAATAACATTAGATAGGTGCCTAGTGAGAAAGTGAAATCATTTAAAAAACTGATGCACTGAAAATTCGTAGTTCTTGTGGGCTGATTATTTTTTTTCTCTTTTCAAAAATCCAGGCTGGCTTCATTTTAACAGTTCCTCTTGTGACTTTGACTCTTTCTCTGCACCTCCACAAGGGGGCAGATAAAGGAAGAGAAAAGTGAAATTTTAAGTGACTCTAACTTGAATTTCACTTTTATTCATCAATCAGATGGAGCTGCAGAACATTTTTTGGAGCGGTTTTAAAGAAATAAGCAAGCCGACTTTTCTTCTGAATCAACTCGTAGTCCCCTCCTTGCTCTTCAGAGACAAAGTAGTAGATATTTCAAAAGGGGATTAAGTAATAATCTCCTAAAAAATGGTTTCCAAAGCGTTGCCCTAGCGTTTAATGTTCCAATTTGGTCTCTAGCGAAAATACAGCATTTGAACTTGTATCTAATTCTTGCAAGCTACAGTTTTAGATAGCTGTTGTTGAAATTTCTCATTCATGGGATGGGAATGGGAGTTCTCATTCATGGGAGTGATGGGAGTGTTGCCTAGTTGATGTATTTAGCTGATTAGCAGTGGAAGGGGCATAACTCTTATTTTTATGTCCAGACAACTTTCCCTTTTCTTAAAAGCTTCACTTTCTACATCAGTGTCATTGAATGAATTCTATTCATGGATACTTATAAATATATTATGGTTACTTTATGGCAAAGGTAATATTCTATTTGAAGCATGTTTGATATTGAAACACTTGAACACGATAAAAGTAGACTTTTAGTCTGGGAGTTTTAAATGGGTATATATAGAGTTGTATATAAACTGAATATATCTTTGTCTAGAATTGGTATTTGATTAGAATCTAATGTGTGGGAGGGAGTTTTTCTGCTTCAGAAAAATGTATATTTGCTCTTCTTTTTTTTTTTGTTACCCAGTAAATATATTTCTTTGGGAAAAATGCTATTTTTCCAAGTAGTTTATTATGAGACTTACATTTTGTATATGTGGTTTTAGCTGTTATAAGATGTTGAGGGGGAAGCAATGGGATAAATATGCAGAAATTTATTTTTTTTCCTTTTTTGTATGTTTACATTCATTTTTTTTTCATTTTGTGGCAAGAATATCCATTAAGATCTCCGATTATCATGGTTTTTATATCCCAGTATGACATGTAGTTCTGGTGAAACTGTTATGTTATATTCCTGTAGCATTTTTTTTTAAGACTTAATGCCTTTTATTCCTTAGCTTCATGCATGAATTATGTAGCATATGTGAAGAGGCTTAAACTGTTCCCATTACATTCTTTCTGGATGGCTCCTGTTATATTTAGGATATACTTGTACTTTAGACAAAGTAAGAATGTTATTGTTGTTGACCTTGACACCAGATAACTGGGCAGACATTATATAGCTATGTTTGAATCCTCACAAAATGTGCTGTTAAAGCCAACAGAGTCCTGGCGGGAGACTCTTCTGGATAGCAGAGTTATGGAGCTGTTCTTCACAGTAAGTTTTGCTTTTCCTCTCTGGTGGTGAAGGCCAAGGAAGAGTGCTGCTGAGAAGAGTACATGCTTTTGTATTTTTCTTGAGTAAAACAGGACAGATGGCTTTCTCCTCTAAAGGCCTTCTCTCCTAATCAATACTTCTGCTTAAATAGAAGTTACATAGAAGTGTTCTTGCTAATTTATAAAAATGCTATGTAAATATAAAGGGTTGAATATCCTGGAGCTGAAGTTCTCAAGTTTTTTGATCTCAAGACCCCTTTACATTCTTAGAAATTATTGAAGACCACGAAGAGCTTTTGTTTATAGGATTACAGCTACTAATATTTACCATATTAAAAATTTAAACTGAAAACTTTAAAAAATAATTTATTAATTCATTTAAAAATAGCAATATGAGGGGTGCCTGGTTGCCTCAGTCAATGGAGCATGCAACTCTTGATCTCAGGGTTGTGGGTTCAAGCCTCATGTTAAGTGGAAAGATTACTTAAAAATAAAATCTTTTAAAAAAATAAATAAAATCTTTAAAGAAAATAGCAACACGAAACTATTACATATTAACATAAATAACATTTTAGTGAACAAATAGCTATGCTTTGAGGGGATAAATAGTTTACTGAAAAGAGTAGCATTGTTTTATAGTTTTGCAAAACTCTAATTTAGGCTTAATAGAAGACAGCCAGATTCGCAGATCTGCTTCTGCATCCAGTAGGTTGTAATATTATAGGTCAAGTAACCTCAAGGAACTCCACTGTATACCTGTGTGACAGAATAGAAAAAGCAGATACTGTGTTAGTGTTAGTATGAAAATAATATTGCCATTAGAGACAACCTGACATGGTTTTAAGAATGGCTTGGGATCCCTGGACCACGCTTTGAGAACTGCTGTAGTAGAGTAGTGTAGTTTTTAAGTATAATTTATCTTAGTGTTATGAGTAGCAACTTATTTCCATTATAACTTTAAGTAGTCCTGTTGATTATTTGCTAAATGTCAAAAGAAGCAATATGTTCCTATGTTTGCTCATTAGGTTCCCCACTAAGCTGGTGAAAAAACGTGTGTGTGGAGTGAGGAGAGATGCTCATCTGCTGTTAATAGTGCAAGCACACACATTAGATGTAAAAACTGGGGTAAAAGTTAAAAAAAAAAAAACCAATTAAGAGAAAAAGGAAGCCCTTTTACTTATTCCCGACCATTTTAGTTTCTTACCTTTTCATTTGTTAGAAAAATATTATTTACTATCCTTATAACTGCCTTCCTTTTCTAATCAAACGATTTAAAATATTGTAGTTTTGTGGTTTATATTTTAAAATACCTCGAATAAGGTTATTCATCCATGGTTGTATACATAAAAGTGTTCTCAATAGAAATGTTCAGACTAAGCATTACCTTTCATTTTATTCTTTAAATCAGAGAAATGATGAATAAAAACACTATATTACCAAAGAGATAGATATAACTAAATTCTGTTGCCTGCCACATCTGATGAATTGTTTTGATGTGCATCCAAGTTCAATTCTTTGTGTTATTTATTTGACTGAAAGAAGATCCCATTCCAGCAGTTTTTGAAAAGGTGAAAAACTTGCTGGTAGTACTGGAAACAACTCCCCCAAATCTGAACAGCTGTCTAGACAAACTAGACAGCTGCTCCTGTCAGCTGTGAACCACCACTTGCAAATAGCTTCTGAATTTGAGAGTTAACCCTTTTTACTGTGTTATTTTAACAGGTTTGTGTTTGTGGCCTCTTGCTTTCATTTAAGGAGCTTATAAACCGTTTTAATTTGTAATTTGTTACAAAGATGACAGTGGCTAATCTTTTAATTTCATTCAGTTTTTATTAAATTTATTTTCAATTATGTGAATTTATTACCTAATACAAAGCAGTTTTCTGTTGAATATCCTTGTTTCTCTAGATTTGAGTGGGTAGGCATAAATATACTATGGCATGAAATTAAGACTTTAAATGTGTTAGTCACATCTGAATTTAGGAATATTCTAGGTTTCATTCTACCCTTCAAAAGTTTACAAATATATCAATTTTTCTTCCATACAGTATTAGATAAACCACTATTGTTGTTTTTTTCTCCTTCTTGACTGATTCTCCTTGACCTCATTTATGGTGTCTTTTTTTTTTTTCTCTGCTTATGCAAAAATTACTAGTGTTCTATCTTAGTTCTCAACTTTGCTGACTGTATACACTTTCCTTGGGCTATCTCTTCCACACGTAGGACTTGAAGCACCACTTCTGCACTGATGACTCCCAATTCTATATTCAGCACAGGCTGCTCCAAAGTTCCAGGGCCTTATAATCCAAGTGCTTACTGGATGTTTTAATTTGGATGGCCCACAGACATCTCAGATTCATCATGTTCCAATAGAATTTATCATCTTACTAACTTGCTCCCTTTACTCCTTGTCTTGCTTCACCACTCACCTCCTTGGATGTTCTGCTAGCCTTTGCTTTTCTTTATCCCTCTACTTTCCCTATGCAGGTGATGAATTCAGTTTTTAATTTATATAATGTAATTCAATTGTGGTAGAACTCCTTTATAATACTGACATTGGAAGAAGGTCAAGAATCTACTATATTACACTAGAATTAATCATTATCATGAGCTTTATATGGCTCATTTCAGAGAGCATAAATTAAGTTTAAACAGTAGATGTAGGTTCTGAGGCAGTTTCTTTATTTTATTTAATTACATAATCAACATGAACTATTTCAGTCATCATATCTTTTGATTCCTCACTTCTAGACCAGGAACAAGCAACCATTTAGCTCTATAGAGAGAAAAGAAACCTTCTTTTTTGTCCCAGATTGCATTACATTGGCAGAATGTACCCCTGGATAATATGCTTAAATGTTGATTAGAATAAAAGGCATGATGGCAGAAATTTAGTTTTCAGATAAGGAACTTGGGAATTAGTTGTGTTCACAAGTTCTCAAATTGGACAATGTATGAATTTGTGTATTATACTTTCAATTTACTATATAAAACTTAAAATGTAATAGAATATATTTTGAGAAACATTTTTATTATTCTAGACTAACAAATTGGCAGACTTTTTCTGTAAAGGCCAGGTAGTAAATATTAGGCTTTGCAGGTTGTATGTTCTCTGAGGCAGCTATTTAGCTCTGCTATTGTCCTACAGAAGCAGCCATGGATAATACCTAAACAAATAAGCATGGCAGTGTTCCTGTAAAACTTTTTATTTAGTTATTAAAATGTGAACTTTATGTAATTGTCATGTCTTGAAATACCATTATTCTTTGGTTTCGTTTTCCCCGGCCATATAAAAATGTAAAGACCATCCTATAGACCCTACTAAACCAAGCAGGAGGCCATATCTGGGGGGCTTTGGTTTGCCAGTCCCTGTTCTAGACCAAAGAGTGTGGCATATTTTAAGCAGGTCAGTAGATCAATTAACTTTGTGATGTTTTAGTATTTTAAATTTCTTACAGCCTTAAGTTCAAGGTTTAAAGATGAATGAAATCAATCTGTGAATAAGGATTTGAGTGTCCATTCACTGTGTCCCAAAAATGTACCTGTGAATACGTAAGAGAAATATTCTAACTTTAAGAATTTATAAATGATTTGCAGAGTCAAAGTGAACAAAATTTGAAACAAATAGAGAACTCATGTTTAAAATTTTGTGACATTCAGAAAGAGAGATTTGTGTAAGAAAAGAAAGGCTGGAAAAGTCAAATGCTTGTGGAAAGGAGAAAATGGTTGCTGTAAATGTAGTTGGTGGATTTGGATAAAAAGTTACCGCTAATTTCTTTACTAAATGTATTTTCCTTGGCTGTTTAATTATGTCAGATTACAGACATGAAACACCTTTAAAATCTGAGAATATTAATGACACTGTAAAACTAGGGAGCATTTCCTTCATACAGAGTACTGTGCATCGGGTGTTTCACATCAATATTGCATCATTGAAATAAGATCTAGATGAGGCTTTAAAGTGGACTTAAATATAATTTAAATAAAATTAAGAAAATTTTAGCTGTTATTAATAGCAATGATATAGGATAAGATGAATTTCAAACAAATTGTGGGCAATCTCAGCGTGAAAGAGTGTGTTTATATACTGGTTGAATGAGTGAATGTGTGGGGATCGACAGGTATATTGGTTTTCTAAGTGTGCAACTGTTTACTTCTACTAAAGCAGCATCTATATACTCCTGATTGAACTTGTCTGCTAACTTTAGCAAGTAGCTGTAGCTAGGCATAGTTAGCATAATACAGATGACTGTCGTTGTTGCTGTTTTTAGAAGAAGCAGTATGTCTGACTGGCTGGCATCTGTTTCTCTCTTTGTCATAACATGCTGGAGACAGTTCAATTTTCAAAATGTAGGTAGCCCTCAGTTAAAAATCACTTGATAAGTCTAAAATCATGGCCTGTAATGTAAAGTGGACTGAGGGGCAATTTTCAAATTTAGTTAAGTTCAGGAATTAATTTTCTAGAAATAACCAGCAACAGTGAATTTTTCTCTTACCTCATTCGGCATGATAGACACGTGACCCTTACAAAAGAAGAATTTGTTTTTATGGATTAGTAATTCTTTCTAACAGGTACATCGAAAAATCAGAGAAGATTCAGATATGGCACAAGATTCTCTTCAGTGCCTTGCCCAGTTAGCTTCTCTTCATGGACCCATCTTCCCCGATGAAGGATCACAAGTTGATTATCTAGCACACTTCATTGAGGGATTACTGAATACTATCAATGGGTAGGTATACTTGCCCTTTATAACTGAAAAAGGAACTTTCAGTTTTTTATGTTAAACATTAGAGGAGAAAAAAAAACTAGTGATTTTTTTTTCCCTGTTTATATTTTGAAGTATAGTTAAGTGGGTAATTTGAAATTAATACACAAAGATGTGGCCTTTAAAAACGAGTAGGTGATAATATTTGCATGTTTAGCAATGAGTTCTTGGGACTTTTCTTCTACCACCACTTAATAATACTCATTACTTGGTTTGTAGAATTGAAATAGAAGATTCTGAAGCTGTGGGAATCTCCAGCATTATCAGCAACCTGATAACTGTGTTCCCTCGAAATGTTTTAACTGCCATTCCAAATGAACTTTTCTCGTCCTTTGTTAACTGCCTCACACACCTCACTTGTTCTTTTGGGCGAAGTGCTGCATTGGAAGAAGTGGTGAGTGCCTATTCTAAGATAAATTGTATCTCTTTTTTACAAGGAAATTTGCTATGCCTCTACAACATTTCTCATGACAAGTAATTAAGCAAGTGCTAGGTATTGTTAAAATTGCATTTTTGTTTTACATGTGCAAATTATTTGTAATCTGTGTTTAGAAACATTACTTTTAAAATTTTGTGGATTAAAATCACTTTAATAGATTAAATTTATTGATGTCAAGATTTTAATTTTGAGATAATTCATTATCTGGATGTAGGAAATGGAATGAAGTGTTTATATTAAAAATTATGTTGAAAGTCCATTTTAACAATGAAAATTTTAAGTTTAAAAACTAACATTGTGGTATGGTTGCAGTTTTTTTTTTTTTTTATGATCTAAAAATTTTGGGCTTACCTGGAAATTATATAAATATAATTTGGTTCAAATTATTGTAATCATGCCATTTCTTTGACGCCTATGGCTTAATAGTATATCTTGGTAGAATTTCATTTTCTTTTAAATCAGTAACAGTAATAAATATTTTTTTGTATATGTTTTCAAATGTATATTTTCCAAATATAAAATTTAATTTAGGAAACACGTACTAAAACTCCTTGACAACACAGCTGTGTTTGTAACAGTTACTGGGTGAATAACTGCATTATTCATGGGAAATAATTGATTTTTTCCTCTGTAGTGGTTCTTAAATTGTTGAAACTACTTTTTCTTTTTATGAATCAGAATGTGGTTTTTTTTTTCAAAGATCATAAGTAAAAAGAATATTTGTAGGTATCTGTTAGAATTTCACGTTAAGTCCTGAGTTTCATCTGGCAATGTCTCTCTGAGTTTTCATATCCCTTTAGGGGTGTTCAGAAAATAGAGAACTCAAGAATGATTTATATAGTTGGATACTTTAGTGGTTTGGTGAGGAAAGGAACCAGATCAGGCAGATATTTGTGTTTTAGAAAAAAATGTAGGTAGTAGAAGAATAGAAGTTTAAAGGCATCATATGTGAGATTTGAATTTCTCGGGGAGAAAAATTATGTTCTAAGCATGGAAATACGGAGAAATTTTAAATATTTAAGCTTTATTCAAACCACTTGCAGATTATCACAAATTCTGAATCAGTCAGGTTTCATTTAACATGGTTTCATTGTGCTTCCCCCCTCCTCCCTGCCCCGCCTTGGTTTTGTTTGTTCTCTCTTCTAAATCAGGTGGATTAAACAGTATGTTGATCACATATTTAGAAACACAGCTATTTTTGAGTTTCTGTTTGTGGTTAAGGAAGTTCCTAAACATTTTATAGAAGAATTACTGGAAGATAATTAACATTCTTGTTTTGCAGATTTTAAGTTTAGAATTCATTTATTTTGGCCAGGAGACTGATAACTTAGAAAACAGATTTTCTGTCAAGGTTGGTAGAAAAATTTTAGAATACAGAAAGCTTAGATACACTTGCAGAATTGATGTATATTGTGCTTGTTTCACAAGAAGGTGTGTTATAGTTAAGATATACCTAATAGATTTCATTTAAGAAAAGTGTTTTCTTTTCATTTGTTTTAATTAATTTCTTTTAATGTTTATGACATTTAAAAATGGTTTTAGAAATAATTGGTTACCTATCTCTGAAACTAATAATGCACTATATGTTAATTAAATAAATAAATAAAATAATTGCCTACCTATTAAAAAAGGCAAAGCTTTATCTAAAGCTTTGTATTACTCAGAGTAGCCATACAGCTGAGGTTTGCTGAAGTTGAGGGCTAAAAAGGAGGCCCCACAGGGTGAGTTGCCAGAAGACTAAACAAATCCTCCTAAATGTCATCTCAACCTCTTGTGATTTTCGTTATATTTTGTGTATGCTGGGGAGGGGATCCTGGGAAATGTGCGGCTGATATCAAAATACATGAACAAATCTAGAGAAACTAGAGTGGAAGTGCTGGGACATAGGTCACATCATCTTTTGTTTCCTTGGGCACCTGGTGATTATAGTACTGGTACATAGTACATATTTGTCGATCTCAGATGTAAAAGTATATTTTAAAAACGAATCTTTTAAGTAAAAAAAATAGGAAAATTGAGACATGTCTTTTAAAAAACTGCTTTGAGAGTCAGCATGATACAAAAAAATCATGAACTTTGGAAGGAGACAGTACTGTCATGAGCCAAGTAATTATAAATTACAGAACCTTGGACCAATTGCTTAACCTTTTTTGAACATGTTGATAGAGAAAGGATAATTTCTTCTAATGTTTTGGGGGGGTGATTAGCTATATGGAAGTGCCTGTACAGTATGCACAATAAAATGTGGAATAATGTAAAAAATGAACCTGTATAATAATAACACTTATTGAGACCTGTGTTTTATACACTGTCTTACCAAGGTAAGACAAGTTCTTGAGTTATGTGTAAACCAATAGTTTTAATATTACTTTTCTTTACAATTTTAATTTTGTGAAATGTTTTGTTTTTCCCTTATTAAAGAAGGAGAATTTTTTCCCATTAGGAAGATAAACTCAGCATATACGCTTTTGTGTTATTGTGAAAGTATTTTTTCAAAACTATACTTATTTAGGAATACATATAGATTGTCTCCTTTTTTAGATATTTATGTCTCTGATGAGATTATGTGGCTGTGCTAAGAAAAAAAAATCTATATAGGAAGAGAAATTTGTGATACTAATGTGCATTTCGTGAGGTGTACCTTTGCTTGGTGGCTTTAGTCTGTGTGAAGACAGTTATTTATGACTGTTCTTCATCGTGCAGGGAACTGAAACTCTGTGCTTAAAAAGAGCAATTCCAGTCTTCAGCCACGTTGTTCTGTTGGCTCTTAAAATTTTCTGGTATTGCTTGAGGCTTCCTGAAGCCAAGAATTTTTTTCATTGCACCTTAGAAATCAGATTATTGTCTATTACTGGAATGAAGAGGTGAGAATGACTAGAGAGATGGAAACATTGCCTTAAAAATTAAAATTCTAACAAAATAATAGTTCATGTTATATCGTTTTATAAGGTGTTCATAATACTAGTACATCCATTGTAATCGATTCAGTGAAATTTAAAGAGAATATGACCTGAACTCTCTACTCTAGATTGTTTCTCGGTTTCTTTGGTCAGTAGAAAATTTTAAGTTCAGCCCCCAGGAGGTTCGTCAGACAGGAGACACATAATTTGTTCAGTTAATTGAGCAGAGCAGCCAAGGACAATGCTTAAACCTTGAAGTGTATGTAAAGTGTATGTGTGTTTGGGTGTGCATATGTATTTCCAGGTGGGTATGTAAAGGAGATGGTGGTAGGTAAACTTTGTAAAGAAAAAACTTTCATTGTAGTACATCTGTAGCTTAATCTCAAGACTTGCAGGACAGAATTGTAAAAAGAAAGATATTTGATAAAGTTGTTAGGAAGTCCATTATAAAATGTAATATGATAAAGTAACTTTGCAGTTTGTTCAGTGAGTACATGTGAAGTTCATCATTCTTCATTCAAAATCTAGTTTATCTGACTCAGTGGACAATTACTTTGTGGGGAGGAGTTATAGTGAAAAGGAATGCATTGAAGCCAAGTTATAAACTGAAATTTAGAAGTGGGAAGCATAAATTTGGACTGTTTCAGTGATAAGAGAGAAAGCTTTTAACTCCCTTTCTGGCATGGTGATGTGTGTAGTGTGTGTAGTCGACCTTGCCCTTTAACTCACAAGAGGAAGTGACTGTTTGAGAAGCCATGTCAACCTCCCCCACCCAGTGGTTCTGATGGCCAGGGAAGAATAAATTGGTGATATTGTAGAGAGCAAGACAGCTGTCCAGTCCGATTATGTGCATTCATTTCATCTGCTTGAAAGAGTTAAAAAAAAAGAGAGAGAATTAGAATGAGGTGCATGAATATTTTTTAAACTTTGCACATTTAAAGTATACATATTCTTTTTAATACTAACAATAAATTTACCTCTATTATTTAGAAGAAAATTGGCTACAGTTATACCTTAAGTAAAGATTCTTATTAAAAGAAGTCTTTAAAAAAGAATTTCATTGTTTAATCCTGGTGGGATGGTAATATTATGAGTGCAGTGTTTCCTGACTTGTATATGAGTCACCTTGGGTTTTCTCAATTTGCTGTGCTAATCCTAGCACAGAACCAGTATTTATATTTACAAAATTCTTGCACTTGAGTATAGTTGGTTGAGAATAAACCTTACTTAGTATCATAACTGTTGTTCCATATAGTATTTTTTGTATTATTTTAAACAGTAATATTAGCATTAGAAGCATAACTAGATCTAATGTGCCAGGGGTTCAAAAACAAACGCTAGAGTGAGGCAGAAAAAAGGGATTGCCCTCCTACCCCTTAGAAGCCAGGCAAGTCCCTGAGATGTCAACCCACAAGGATTACTGCTGGATTAATTCAATTCTGTAAATATTTTTTGACACCTGCCATGTGCCAGGCATGGTACTTGATGTATATATATATTACTTAGCATTAAGAATTTGGAAATTCATATGCATTCCTAAAAGGAAGAAAGTATATTGATCAAAGAGTTTATAATGTTTAAAAACTTTCTGAAAATCGCAGCTTGGACTCTTGGTGTTTTTATGGGGGCAGATTTTTTTTTTTTTTTAAGTGATCTATCTATAGGATTCTTCTAACAGCTGCAATACTTGTCCACTAAATCAGTTTCTCTTGGGGGATTTTAGAAGCCAGGAATACTGTCAGCTCATAGGTATTCTGAAGTTTAATTCTGTGCCTTTAGGATGGGCTAGAAAAAAAAAGAGAGAATAAATAATTCCTTTGGCATTTAACATTCAAAGACTTCTAAATTTTTAGAGTTCATGAAGTTTTATTTGTGACATTTCTGTGATTTTATCCATATTGTCATCATATTTGCCTTAAATAATGCTATTCCAGGAAAAAAATCTAAATTCCTCCAGCAGATGAATAACAGCATAAACTAATAGTTTTTTCAGTCTTTAATCTTTCATATGTCCTTTCTCAGTAATGTTTTATACTGTGCCCTACATATATTATT